CTACTCTTGTCAACCGGCGCACCCCGCGGCCGGCGTGCTTAGCGGCCGGCCGGGGCGGCGAATATCAGCCTCATTATACGGCGGACGGCGAGCGCCCCGGACAACGGGCTCGTAACCAGCGGTTTCGGCGCGCGTGCCCACGCCGCCGCCCTGCAGCGGGCCGGCGGGCCCGACGGTGGCTGCGGGCGCCGCTCGGGCGCCGTTAGGGCCGCTGGGGCCCCCATTAGGGCGGCTCCGGCGCCGGGTGGTCGGCGGGAATGTGCGGCATCCGACGGCGGCTGCGAGAGGCGGCTCGGCACCGCTGTCCGCGGGTCACGCGGCGGACGTGATCAGCAGACGGGCCGCGGGTCACGCTGTGGGGTGATCAGCAGACGGGCCACGGGTCACGCTGTGGGGTGATCAGCAGACGGGCCGCGGGTCACGCTGTGGGGTGATCAGCAGACGGACCGCGGGTCAGGCGGGGGATGATCAGCAGACGGACCGCGGGTTCAGGCGGGGGATGATCTGCAGACGGACCGCGGGTCAGGCGGGGGATGATCTGCAGACGGACCGCGGGTCACGCGGTGGGGTGATCAGCAGACGGACTGCGGGTCACGTGGGGGATGACAAGCAGACGGGCCGCGGGTCACGCGGGGATGATTTGCAGACGGACCGCGGGTCACGCGGCGGGATGATCAGCAGACGGGCCACGAGTTAGGCCCTCAGGAAGGGATACGCAGACCGCCTGCAGGTCACATGTGCCGGCGTTGGAATGACCCGCGGAGGTCAGGGCTAGGCGGTGTGCAGGCTGTTTGAGGATCAGGCGTCAGGAAAGCGTCAGGATCAGGCGTCAGGAGGGCGTCAGGATCAGGCGTCGCGAGGGGGAGTGATTCATGGACCGTCCGCAGTTCACCCATATGGAGCAAGGCTGTCTAGCGGACGTCGCGGTGATTGTACCCATAGGCCGGTGAATGGCGACACCAGCGCGGAGTGGAAGTCATGCTGCTCTAGAGAGGCTCAGAGTGGGAAAACACACTAGCCATCGGGGACCGGTTATCGGCGCACGGTCACAGATGAGACAAAGTTTCAGCGAAGTTTCACCGATCAATTCACTTGTTTATGCGATAACAATCTACCTTTTTTATAATCGCGGACAAAAGTATCGCTCATTTGAGACGAAAAACCGCTGAACTTTCTTCTTTATGGGCGTACCAAACAGAGCTAGAGCACTCATGTCCCTAAATTTCTTATACATTGATACGCGGGATGGTTTAAGTCCCTGATGGCCCATTTCAACAGCGCGCCTGATTCTCCATTAATCTGCGCGCTGTTGCGTCTCTGGATTGGTCGTCAGACGCACAATGCGCAGTTACCGACACCCGCCCCAAAGGCTCTCCAGCGACCCGAGCTGGACAAAGCAGCCTAAAAACCGACACGGTATCGCCCGACGGCCCAACTAATTAGTCTTCTCGCATTAGTGATGGTCCGACTGCTCAACTAACTATGTTTTGCCCGAAGAGACCGCTCGGTATGCGCATGCGCATGAGAGGCAGTCGGATAGACACGAACGCGAGCCTCGCTTGATGGCAGGGCCGGCCCGGCCCGGTGTTAAGTGTTTGGCGCGCCTTAATGAGCTTGGGGTCATTTTATGGCACCGTAACGGCTCCGGCGCTGGTGTGGGAAACCTCTCGGCCGGACGGGTCGCGGCCAGTGAGTGTCGTTTGGTGGTCACAAAACCCCCGATCGGGGCCCGGTCAGGGCCCAGGCAAGACGAGGCTGGTCGCCAGTGAGTGTAGTTTGGTGGTCACAAAACCCCCGATCGGGGCCCGGTCAGAGCCCAGGCAAGGCGAGGCTGGTCGCCAGTGCGCGGCGCAACAATCTGGGTTTCTGCTGGAGCTACGCGTGGGGAAGGCTTGCGTAGAGTCAGCCGCCGCCGGTCGCATCTTTCTGGCCTGCGCGTTCGTTAGTGAGGTTGGGACCTGGAACGAGTCGAGTGCAAATCACTCACAGCTCTGCAAGACTGCTCGTAACCAGCTATGGAGTGCTCCCCCACTCAACGAAATTGAGTGTGGGGGCTGGAGATCATATATCCTCAAAGCCTGGAAAAGTTCCCTGTTTCAATGGCTTAGTTAGCCGCTTTGGGAGCATTCGGATCGCACCCAGAGCAGGCCAGAGCAAAATTTGGGGGGGGGGGGAGAAGAGCAAGGCTCCCTGAAATCTATACTGGTACTGGTGTGGGAACGCTCCCGCTTTCTTGCCACGAGTGCCTGACCGAATGGGGGCTGATGGATGGTGTAGACGCCAAGTGCACTTTGCTTTAGTTAAGCCAAGGCACCATTGATATGTTGATATCACGGGCGTAGTTAAGCAAAACCAGCTGGTTTCTCTGCCCTGAGACAATCAGCCTGGTTTGCCCCTAAAACTTTAAAACTAAAACTAAAAAAACCTACAGCTAAAAAACACCTGAAACTAAAAAACATATAAAACTAAATCCTAAAACTAAAAAATCAACTGCAAATTGGGAGGGGGAGGGGGGCTTAAACCCGTCCGACTGAACTCCATCCAACATGATCGATGTAATGAGTTTGAGTTTACTAGGATTTCGCTTTTTGAGAACACTGTGCAGATAAAGTTTATTTGTGGCAGGGACGTTGGAACAAGCAAAGATGTGGGGGGGGGGGTTAAACACATCTTTGGAGTCATTTATTTCCATGCATCGCCATGCGATTAATGTTAGGTTTCCAGGAGAGGTGAGAGGGTCGAGGGCACTGACCCACCCGAGGGCATATTTTCAGGACACTTCACTGAGGAGGCATGTCCGAAGACCGCAGAGAGGGAACAGGACACCGTCTGCTCTTGATCTGCAAAATCTACGAGACCTATGTAATACCTTTTGCAGAGAAGTACGTGTCTGGTCTGTCTTTTCCTCTGGCGCACGACGATCCGTTCGACAGATCCATACATCGGGCGGGTAGACATCTCAGCTGTCTGGAGCTAGTCATGAGCCTCAGCATTGTTTGGAACGAAGATACATTTTGGGCGACTGTAGAGGTGCATGCCTGTACAGTTAACATGTTCACGTATGGTTTGCCCCCTCCCCTCCCCCCCCCCCCCCCCCCCTCTTCCGGCTACATTCGTATGATTTGGAGCCTTCCAGAGCCCGCTGCGCGGTCTTTCCGTCTGTTGTTGCTAAAACCATGGGGCCAATGTCAAGGTCCCTCGCAGATTTCAGCAAGCCAACGTAGCGGCGCAAGGTTTCGAAATGGGCTCCATCGCGAATGGTGATCTCAAAGTTTTAGGATGGGATTTTAATATTTTCAGCGCAATATTATATGTTTTAAATTTCATGCTAAAAAATTAATTAATTGGCGCCACTGGGACTCTCGGAAGCATGCCGATAAGTTACAGCCTTACCTCACAGCGTGGTTATCGCGAATGCGTCACTATTCAACGTTCTGTAGTTTCACTGTTCTCAGCACAGACATGTCATCCAGGTTACTTAAGAAAAGTGACGCCCAGTGCATTCTTGGCCGAAGTGAATAAAGAATGAATGGAACTTCAAAGTATGCCCGACTAGATTATCTTTACGTCACATGATGTTATCGCGACATGGAGTGGTCAGCGTGGAAATTACGTCGTTGATGAGTGGATGATATCACGCTAGAAGACAATGCCATCCCGATTTAACAAGCTTCATGGGTGGTAGGGAAGCCCCTGGTATGATACAACATAAGCACTTGCGTAGGCAGCATCCCAAACAGGCTCAAATCATGCGAATCTGTTTTCTTTTTTTTGACTTGTGGCCGCTTAACTAACTATGGTCTCGTCTGCGGTGCATTAACAGGGCTCATCAGTCATTTGAGAGGGGCCGACACATTTGCCAGTGGCGAGGGTGACGTCACATGTCCGATTGGCCACAGGCCGTCACGCATACCGGAGCGTGATCTACGACTTCATGAGGTCAACTGTTGCGGTGGCAAGGTCTTCTGCTGTTCCACCGCGGCTAATGACAATGGAGGCATTTTCTGAGATGCCTGAATGGCGGCTGTTTTCATAAAACAATATTTTGCGGGTCCAAACACTACCTACAAATGCGCACAAATAAGTGTGGTAATGCTGCAGTGGCTTAATCTTTCAATAAGAAGAAGCATACCCAAACTGATGTAACACTGGTGATAAATATAACGCCGCGCGTTTGAAACATTGGGATATTGTCACAGCATCGGCATTGCTTCATGATACATTTTCCTCGAATCTCCGCGGAATACTTCACTCCGTGTGCAAAAAGCTGAGAATCGCAGCCAATTAGCCTATTTCAAGGTGGGACTATGCTGGTGCGCCCATCATGAAAATCACAATGGCAGAAAACTGAAATTAGGATTTTTGCACCATAAACGACTTCAACAACAGTAGCCATCCACAGATCCGACCGCAGGAATAACAACATACCCAGCCCTTCGAAAAATTTCTGGCTTGCATAATAGACATGTATGAAGAAATCAGTTAATAAGCAAAGGAATAGAGCGATCCGAGCCGATGATATATCCATATTGTCAAGCACGGCGAACGGCTCCGCCCCCAGGAGCGGCCGGCGCCGCCGACCAATCACCAGCCGTCCGGCCAATGTAACGAGCCGCGCGATTGGCGGGCACGGCGGCGGGGGGCGGAGCCAGCGTCGCTAATGATGACGTCGCGCCGTGAAGGGCCGGGCCGGCCGGCGCGGCGGCCGGCCGGCCGGCAGCTTCTTCATTACCGCCGTCCGCCGCCGCGCCGAGCGGAGGCCGAGTCCGCGCCACCCGCCGCCGCCGCATGTGCAGCTGCCGCCCGATGGCGCTGGCGAGCGGAGCGCCGCCGTCGCCGCTGACGCCGGGCCCCGTCAGCCCGGCGTCGTCCGGCGCCGGCTCCGCCGCGTCGCCGCGGCTCTTCTTCTCAGCGCCGCTGCCGCCGACGCCGCCGCACAGCGAGCGCTCGTTCAGCGCCAGCCCGGGCCGGCCAGCCCGGCGCCGCCGTCACCGCGGCCGGCGCGCCTGCCCTTCTCCATCGAGAACATACTGCGGCCCGACTTCGGGCGCGGCCCGGGCCGGCCGCGGCTGCCGACGCTGCAGCGGCGACTCGACGCCGCGCGTCCCGTCGACCTGCGCAAGGAGCGGCTGCCGCCGCCGCCGGCCAACCCGCAGGAGCTGGCCAACCCGCCGCTGCCCTCCGAGGACAAGATGGTCTGGCCCGCCTGGGTCTACTGCACGCGCTACTCAGACCGGCCGTCGTCAGGTACGTGCCCGCCAGCCGCGCGCCGCGCCGCCCGCCGCACCCGGCCCCGGCCGTCGCGCCTGTGCTACTGGCGTGGGGTGCTGCGGGGGATCAGGGGATGCACTGCAGTGAACCGCTGAGGTGGTATCTGATCTGCATCGCAGGTTTGTGACGTCATTTATGTTTGGGCATGTTTCGCCCGTGGAGGTGTCGCAGCTGTGCAGTGAGGCATGACTGCCCTCTAGATCACCGTGCTGTGATTCGACCCCTGTGTCCTCACGCGCTTCAAGCGCTGTTCATTGGCCCATACACCGTCGCTCCTCGCCGCCCCTCCTACCCTTGGCCGAACGCTACGGTGCTGCTGCAGCAGTGACCCTGCCCGTCATTGCGCTGAAGTGTCGGACCGTTGGCTGCTTGTGTCCTGTCCGGACACTCACCAGGCGTCTGAACTGATCGGGATCAGCGCCTAAACAGCGTGCGTCCGTAGCTCGTGTCAATCTGATCCCCCGCCCCTTGCTACGCTTGTCTCGGTTCCCCAGTGTGAGGTTCAAATCACCCATTGGCTGTGGTTCAAGCGCTACAGATTCAAAAGCTCGTATTTTTCTCTAGAATCCGTCCTCCTGTTCTGCCGCCCCCTCCCTTCCACTCACCCCCAAAGCGCATACAACTGGATGGCGGCGGGTGCGGCGAGCTGCCGCTGTCTGCTGTCGCGCCGACCGGTCGGCATTCCCGGCCCAGTCAGCCCGGCCAGGCCGGCGCGGACAACGGCAGCCGGAGACCAGAGGACCAGACCCCGGCCGGCCCCAGACCCCGGCCGGCGCTAGACCCCAGCCGGTTCCAGACCCCAGCCGGTCCCACACCCCAGCCGTTGCTAGACTCGGCCGGTCCCAGACCCCGGCCGCTCCCAGACCCCAGCCGGTGCTAGACTCGGCCGGCCCCAGACCCCAGCCGGTCCCAGGACCCCAGCCGGCGCTAGACTCGGCCGGTCCCAGACCCCAGCCGGTCCCAGACCCCAGCCGGTGCCAGACTCCGGCCGTCCAGACCCCCAGCCGGTGCTAGACTCCGGTCGGTGTCCAGACCCCGGCCGCTCCCAGACCCCAGCCGGTGCTAGACTCGGCCGGCCCCAGACCCCAGCCGGTGCTAGACTCGGCCGCTCCCAGACCCCAGCCGGTGCTAGACTCGGCCGGCCCCAGACCCCAGCCGGTGCTAGACTCGGCCGGTCCCAGACCCCGGCCGCTCCCAGACCCCAGCCGGTGCTAGACTCGGCCGGCCCCAGACCCCAGCCGGTGCCAGACTCGGCCGGCCCCAGACCCCAGCCGGTGCTAGACTCGGCCGGTCCCAGACCCCAGCCGGTGCTAGACTCGGTCGGTTCCAGACCCCGGCAACTCCCAGAGTCTGCGCTCGAGTCGCGCGTGCTGTCCTGACCTAAGACCGGCAACTCGGCATACTAGACCAGGCCGTCAGCGACTTCAGCTGCTTGCGGGTGGCCCTCGGCGGATGGCGAGGCGTCGCGGACAGCCCGTGACGTGTGTCCGCCCCGGCCACCGCACGGCTTCGTGAAGCTGCAGCGGTGGGCCATGCCACTGGAGACCCCCACCCCAGCCCCACTGGCTTGGGGCCGTATCGGTGACTGCTGTGGAGCGCTGGGGACAAAGTGTGCCAGCGTAGGAGACGTCTGTTCTTCAAACGCCCCACGTACATGATGTTTGAGCGAAACCTTGGATGGTTTGCCCCGTGTTTCATGCAACCGCTTCACTGTCGTGCACGAGAAGTTCCGTATTCGCCTCCATCCCTGCCAAACTTCCGAGACGCATCTCCACACGCCTCCTTGTGTGGAGGTGCGCTGGGCAGTGCTTGCCCAGTAGCGGGTACTGACCCACTTAAATCACGTCAAAGGTGACCGCTGGCACTGGGTCAACCCCAAATAAATCACAGGTGCGGCCTGGCCAGCGCGCCCGTCGCCCCGGCGGTGGTTAGCTCCTGCCTGTTGCCGCCACCCCGTGTGACATCGCTGCGGTGGCTGACGAACCGAGCCCACGCTTCATGCAGGCGGCCCCGCACTAGCAGTGGTGGGGGCGGCTTGACCGGCTGGGCTGTTAAGTCATAGCACGCCCCGTGTCATTGCCTGGCGCGTTGCGTGTCCCACCAGCGCGTCCCGTGTCCCGCCAGCGCGTTCCGTGTCCCGCCAGCGCGTCCCGTGTCCCACCAGCGCGTCCCGTGTCCCACCAGCGCGCCCCGTGTCCCACCAGCGCGTCCCGTGTCCCGCCAGCGCGTCCCATGAGCGTGAAGCAAGCTTGAAATTACGGGTCACGATACTACCGCGCACGTCGCAAATAACGGGAAATCATACCCTTTACTGCAGACATCGCGTAAATTCGCCTCTAAATTGCCATTCACGTTGCAGTACAAACAGTCAGTCCATAATTTTGGCCAAAATGTGCTGGCGTGGTTCGCATCCATGCATTTTGCATATCTGATAAACGTGCCAAAAAGTCCGGCTTGGTGACGCGTACGACGTCGTTGCTGTCATGTTTGGTTTTTATGGCCGATCCGAATGGGATTGTGGGCAACCATGAGGCGCCTCACCCGCAGCTGTGCTCTGGTGCATTTCCTTTGCCTGCATTCGGCCCTTCCCCTCACCGGTTTGACTTGATCAGAATCAAGCATCCGACGCTCCAGCTTGTCGGGTATCCCCTTCGGACGCTCCCAGCTGCTGGGCATCCCCTTCGGGACGCTCCCAGCTTGCTGGGTATCCCCTTCGGACGCTCCCAGCTTGTCGGGTATCCCCTTCGGACGCTCCCAGCTTGCGGGTATCCCCTTCGGACGCTCCCAGCTTGTCGGGTATCCCCTTCGGACGCTCCCAGCTTGCGTATCCCCTTCGGACGCTCCCAGGTGGCTGGGTATCCCCTTCGCCGGAGCCGGGTGGCATTTCTGGGGGATGGACCCCTCCCGAGCAGAAGACCCTCAGCTGTGGCCGGCAGCTCCCGTGCTGGACCCGCTCCCTTGGGAGAGACCCTCTCTCGGCCGTGGCTAGCGGCGCCGGCGGTCGAGCCCCATCCCCGGCCCGGCCGCGGCCGGCAGCTCCCGTGCTGTACGCCCTCCCCGGGGAGAGACCCTCCGTCGGCCGCGGTCGGCGGCACCGGTGGCGGCCAGCGGTTGGTCGTAATCACCGCCTGTTGCCGCCGCGCCTGCCGACTCTCGGCCGTCCTGAATGGCCCCGCGCGGCCCCTCCCAGCGCCGCACAATGGACCGCGCTGACCTGGGAGCCGCTGGTGTGCGGACGGCCGCGCCGCCCGCCGCCGCTGGCCGCCGCTGGTGTGCGGACAGCCGCGCCGCTGGCCGCCGCTGGTCGCCACTCGGCTCTGCCTGGCACGAGTGCAGTGCTTTTGAGCCGGATTAAGCCTTTCGAAAGGGTTTTGGAGCTCGTGGAGATGACCGACTTCCAGCCTGCATGGCCGTGAATGTTCCAACCAGTTCCGTTGCTAGAGACATGCTTGCTGGTGTGACGCGGTCCACTGACCACGTGGTGTGTTTGCATGACGTGGTATGACTTTGCCAGGGCTGTGCATTACGTACATCGTGTCTAGCGTGCATTGCATAATATGCAATAGCATTAGGAGTTGTATGTGCGTCATTAAGATATGCTTACATCCTTATAAGGTGTATACTCTGGCACCGTCGGCTCGTGCCAACTAAATTGCAATGCTTAAACGGTTGGAGCGGAGCAAACAAGTCTAGATATTTCGAGTTGCATGTGACGTGGAAAAATTGTTATTCCAAAAGATGGTTTTTCAATCCAAGAAACAACGGACAGCAGAAATGCTGTCCAAAATGCTGAAAAAATATTGGCAGAAATACGGCGGCGCGAAGAGCAGACGGCCGCAAAAAAATCCAACCAAATAAAATACGCAAGGTTGGCGTAGTTTTTTGTATACACAATTAAGACATCAGTGGTGGTGTGTTCGGTTTCTTCAAGTGTGATCAGAAAATCTGAAATCACGTCAGCATGACATGGCGCATGCGTTGGATCAAATATGTTAATGGACAACTGCCCCCTCCACTCCCTTCTTAGCACTAACAACACTTACCGTTAATCCATATAGAATAGATAAAACCGCGAGACATTTTCCGAAAAAAGTTTTTACACACCTGAAGCTTTTTGCCCGCGCGTCCCTGATGGGTCTGGCGGAGGTGCCGGCCCCAGAGCCGGGTCGACTCGCGCGTCGCCCGCCGGTGCTGAGTCAGAGCCCAGATCCCACCAGAAGCCTTCTGCTCGCGCGTCCCTGACGGGTCTGGCGGAGGTGCCGGCCCCAGAGTCGCGTCGACCCGCGCATCGCCCGCCGGTGCTGAGTCAGAGTCCAGATCCCACCTGAAGCCTTTTGCCCGCGCGGGGTCTGGTAGAGGTGCCGGCCGCAGAGCCGCGTGGACTCGTGCGTCGCCCGCCGGTGCTGAGTCAGAGCCCAGATCCCACCTGAAGCCTTTGCCCGCGTGTCCCTGACGGGTCTGGCGGAGGTGCCGGCCCCAGAGCCGCGTCGACTCTCGCGTCGCCCGCCGGTGCTGAGTCAGAGCCCAGATCCCTGGTGGGAATCAAGCGGTGCAACATGGGTGGTCCGACCGGCTCCCTCTGAGCCGCCGCATAGCCCCTGTACAAGAAGAATTTCTGATGGATGGCTGGTAATGAGTGCTCGCATAAATTGAAATATATTCTGGAAATCCGATTATTTGAAGCTCCGCGCAATCATTTGCTCACGGATTTTGGGAGCCGGCATTTCATTTAAGCCCTCAGCGTATTGCATTCCCCCCTCTGTAACGATACTCTTCCCAGCCCGCCCTCTTTGGCGGTACATCGAACTAATTTATCAAGACTTGGGCTCGCTTCCAGTTTGGTGATTTAAACATTCTACGCCAGTTACGTGAGTCATCTGATAATCCGTTGCAAATGCAACAGATTGCCTCATGAATCGTTTACCAACTTCACGAGCGATGGCAGCGCTCCATCTGGCAGAGATAAACGCACGGGA